TATATATATATATAAACATGTTGCACACAGAAGAAAGAGCGTATTGTCTGTTTGTATTGCAGTGTGCAGATAAGCACAGTCGAAATAAAGGCCTTCTGTCTGGCTGTCATCTGTACAAATTGGCATACATTAATCTTAACTGCCACACCTACAGTAATGTATATGAAAGTCATACATTGAACTCTTCTATACATCCGTGTGCTTATTACTCATTGTTGTAATTCTGCCTTTTGGCAGAGGGGGCGGAAGGGGGGGTGAAACCCAAGATTCATCTCAAGGAGTCATTCCGAATCTTAAGATTTACTATTACTCTCAATGTTTCCCAAACTTAGCGGAGAACCATTAAAACTGATTTAGACGGCATGCCAACATCGTTTGGGTTCACTGGACCACCTTGTCTGCGGGAAGGGAAGGAAGTCTGGTGCGGAATAGGAGCACGCAGGCACAGGGCCTTGTATGGAGAAAATACTCTGTGTCACACATTGTCGTGTCTGTATATATGAGGGAAGTGCCAATATTCACGGGTAGTCGAGGAATCATTCTCAAATGCTGAGGTCAACACTACCTTCCATATGTGGTATGCACAACAACAAAGTAGCTTTACTATTTTGCTGTTCGGAGTGCACATTAGTATCACTCGATGAAACCGAGACACTTCATGACAATGTCGCTGAGAAACCCTGTCTTTTCAACATGGAGTCGCTGTCCAGTGATTTCGACTTTTTACATAATGGTATAACTCGTGTTCCCCTGTATGATTTGTGAATAAATGGTACAATGATACTTGTAAAATATGCTTTTAACATCATGTGTTAATCATGCAAACAGATCACCCTCAATTTGTTTTAATGACCAACCTTGGATATGGAACATAACTTGAGGCAGATGATTGGCAGTTAATTTTATTGAACCTCTTCTGACCAATGCATGCACTCCACCCATCGCGTGTCTAGATTCTCCATTTAACTTTTGAAGTGAGGCTACATTACCAATTTTGCAAGCAGTGTTCACATGGAAAAGTCTGCCTTTAATATTGAGCACAGTTCCAGCGCAGTTCCAATGGCCAAGGGTGTGTACGCCCTTAAGTTTGTTCACAGGAGCTCAGCAATCAGATATTTGGGTTCAAGACATTTTTGCCCCGACCCATGTACAATCCTTGGAGCAAAATATTCAGCAAAGTATGTGCTCAAACAAACATTGAAGTCTGATCATTATGTAATCCTTCAATGATGAGACTGCAGTGAAGATTTCTTTCAAAGAGGTCCTACAACATTTGTCTTTGCTTTTGAAATCCTGCTTTGTATCTTTTAATGCTATGTAACATTTTTTTCCAACTCTGGTTTCTCATTTCAACCTTTTTATCACTCCTCTCAAGTATTATCAAAGGTGGGGTCACTGCATCGGTTGATCACCTGTAACAATGGTGTACCTCTGGGCTCGCTACAGGAGCCCCTTACATTCTCTATTCATAATAGAGAGCTTCTTAAGCAAGTCACACGAATGCCATTTTATCTGGACTGTAGTTTATTCCCTAGCGACAAACACATTTTAAAGTGACATCTATACGTGGATGAATATGGACCGTGTCAATGTGATCAACTAACAGCGAGGTATCCAAATGATACTATTTCATCAGAGTGTAACAAAATACAATTTGAATTTGATTTTTTTTTTTAATTTTCAAGTTAAAAGATGTAAATGAATCGAATCATTCCATTTTAAAATTCATGACATCGAATCGTCTTTGATTGACAACATCAGTCTAAGAAGAAAATGGCACATTTACAGTTCTGACAACAAGTTCATTCAAATACATATGTAAAATGACAAAAAATCTATTGCATCATACCCTCTGGAACTGAACCGTACTATATTGAAGAAATATATGATCCCATTGAGTCGAATGCAATTGCTTGGTTCAAATCAAACCGTTCTTGAATCGTATCACAACGCAAGTATCCAAAACCATATTGAATTATTTTTTGCCGAGAGATACCCACCTCTACTTGTTTATTAATACAAAATATAAACTGCCTT